GGGGAGAGGGTGGAGCAGAAATCGACTGCGTCTCGAACGATGTAATCTTGATTTAATCCAACATCTCATCAAATGTAATTATCTGCGTCTGGGGATGGAAGATCGAAATATTTTAGCTGAACTGTTTGCACGCATGATGCTTTAGCACACCTTACTGTAATATGTACGTGTTTTTTTCAGACAATTTCTGTACTACTTAATGTTAATGTTAGTAGTGGTAGTGTTCATTTCCACACCGTCCCTAACACTATAATCTGGGTCCCACGATCTATACTATTACATGCCTTTCAACAAAGTTCTTCCCATTTCATTATTGACTCACTCCAAATTTCAGTATAGACACCGAAAATTACCTCTGTCATTAAAGAAATAATTTATCAAATGGACGATGGGCATGGAAGCAGGCTTGGGTGGTGATGATCACTTGAAGACCAATTCTGCGGTTGATCAGCTGCATGCAAACCAGGAAAGAACGGTGAGGAACTCTGGAAATAAAGAGATGAGATCTTTTGCATGAACTACCACCCTTAACTATTTGCAACTACTCTTCAGTCTTGTGTGACTGGAATATTCGCACACAGCTGCATGTCATTACTACCACAAGAATCTTCTCAGGAAGCAACATATAATTAAATTAAATTAGCTTACGTCCTCTTGATCGAATTGGAATCTGCTAGGCAAATGGCGATATTTCTTTTGCTTCTAAAGATCAATTCTTTTTGGTCATCATTACACCTATAATCAACGGGCCGGCCGGGCTAGCTAGTGAATCTCAGTGATGGTGGTACTGGTATGTATGACCTTTTTATCATTAAGCAGGACGATCTCTCAACCATTCGTGTACAGAGTTTTCTTGCATTTTAATTGGTCTATATACATGCTCTTTTGACCACTTGCATGTTCAGAACGATGATTCTGTTATTGCCTGCGGATGGCAATTTTTTTCCCCTGGAAATATTGGCCACCATTCAAAGATATATACACGACCTATTTTGTCTTGGTTTACAGTACATAGATGGTTACGCTAGAATGTTGTGCACTTTTTGGTTGTTTATTTGCTGTACATCCTGGTACCACAAAGACAGATAATGTACCATGGGACAAAAATATTTGCAGTAAAACGTGCTGTAATAGTATGAATCTTTATATACTAAAAGTCCGGTAAATATCCTATAAAAACTCCTAAATCATTTGTATGATAATATTTCGTGCAACTCACTAATTGTTAGAAAAAATAGATGCATAACAAAGATACAAATTTTTATGTGAAAAACTCTTACAGGAAAAACCATGGACCCTGACAGGCAATGATATTGAGGAGTTGAGTACAAACGTAGGGGATACATTGGGCTATCGCGCCTTTCCTACGCAGCTCACATGGAATATATAAAGGAGAAATCTAGGAATCCTCGTGGGAAAAAAAACATAGGTTCATATTAGGAAACTGATCATAATAGTCAAATTCTATTAGGAAACTAATTCGACCATATTGCATACTGAAATTAGGATAACATATTTAACACTACTCATCAGTGGCAGAACTTGTATTTCTATTAAATTTACTATTGTCAACTTTTTTCTCAAATATAGATATCAACCAAAGATCAACAATTGGAATATACCGTAGAAACTCGTCAAAATAAATTTCTTACATCGCCTTTTTGTTTTAGTTGATGTGGTACTCTCCACGAGGCAAGTGTTTGGCCACGATCAGTTTGCCAGTACTAGCTATGAGCCAAAGTACTTAAAAAAACACCACACAACCGTTTGATATTAAGGGCGCACATATGTATATCTAAGCCTTGAAAAATTACTGAGAAATGAACTTATTCCTGAAGTTATGGCTGTTACAAATAAAAAATTTTGAGTCAGGACCATGCCAATTACGGAGTATACAAGAATGCATTTATTACTCCGAATTATATATGCTACTACATGTGGTCAAATATATATTTGACGTTCTTGAGAACTATATATCTCTCTCATCGTCAAATATAAATGAGAATATAAACTAGCCCTACTTAAAAATAATAATTTTTGCAGGCGGCCAAAATATGTTTTCGCTAGCGGCTGACACAACCGCCAGCGACAAAAGGTTAGTAAAAATGACTGATTTTTTTGGTAGCTGTTGTGGTCTGCTTGCGAAAATCAATTTTCGCAAGTAGACCCTTAAGAGGACCAGCTGTGAAAATCGATTTTTGCAGGCGATACTGGTAAGAGTACCACTAGCAAAACAACTTTTTAGCAAAAAAAATTAATCAATATCCACAAAAGCTGCTGCATTTTCAAACCCACCACATCTTGAGATCCAAATTCAAATCAAACCAAATCCATATTCAGATCCACATCCAGATAGCACTACATTGATTTTTCACTCCATTTCCAATATGCCAACAACAACATATGAAAATGAAATAGCATCGTGTCGACTGTGATCATGCTGGTTGTCATCTTAGTAGCGCCGTCGGTGGTTGTTGTGCTGATTTGTTATAGGTAGAGTGAGAAAGGGAGGACTTAACTCCGCAAGATCCGGAACAGTGTCGAACAAGCTGAGCCGAGCCCCCCTCTCCTTCCTCCACCGCCGCCGAGAGGGAGGAGTGTCGCTGCCGCCACTCCGTCTGTCGCTGTCATGGATGAGCCCCCCCCCCCCCCCCCCCCCCCGCCCGCGCCATAGGACCTATCACCTCCGTCAAATCTGCGGCTTGCCATTGCCATCGTCACCGGCCTCGTCCCCTCTTGCCGCACGATCCATGGCATCTAGGCACCATCGCTGTTGGATCCGCGGTTTGCCATCGTCACCGCCCTTGTCCCCTCCTGTCGCTGGCACCATCGTCACAGCCTGCCATCACCGTCGCCGTTGCCACCGCGGTCATCGTCTCCGTCGTGTGGTGTGATGGAGGTGGAGAAGCTGAAGGGAGTGGAGGTAGATGGAGTTGTAAAGTAGAGGAGAGATAGGAGGAGCCGAGAAGCGTTTGTTTTGTTAGTCCGCCAATAAAAATCGGTTTTCGCTAGTGGCTCATGGCCAAGAACCCTCCAATACATTTTTAGAAGCGTTTGTTTTGTTAATCCGCCAGTAAAAATAAAAGGGTGACGTCACAAATTTTTTTTTTATGTAGTGTAGAGGAAATATATTTTTCTCTAAAAATACTGAAATTGTTTGACAATGTAGAAAAAACAATCCTTTTGACAACATAATAAGCTGTCCCAATACTATGTCTGGAGATTATTTTTATGTTATAATATTGGTTGCAAAAAAAAAATTCTGAAGTTAATTTTATGACTTTTCGTAGAAAATGAGACGACTAAATATAGTTAAAGCTATTGAGAGAGTTTTCACTTGTGTCCGATCGATCAAGCCCATTATTCCCCCAATTTATGTCGCATATGAAACACACTAGCTAGCTGAATGAAGCACAAGAGACATGCATTATCAGGGAGTAAACGTATGGCAGAGGTTCAGGTAGCCAAGTTCAGACCTGGTTGAGCCAACCTTTCCAAAAGATAGGCGTTCTAGCCGTTCTTTGCTTCCTATTTTTAACAAAATCACTTTAGTTTTCCTCCAATCATGTTTAGGAGTCAAACACGGTCTCTCCAAACGATGATGATCAGAGGCTAGCTATCACGCAATCATTTATGTCAGAGAGATGTACTTTATTTCAGACAGTACATATGCATGTCATTCCTTCCAGCAGTGCCACTACTTAGACACCGGTAATTCCAAACTAACCAACCTATATGCATCATGCATGCCAATAAAATATAACACAGCATGAAAGCGTGCTCACACCCACCCCTACAAACGCATACACTACTCTAGCCGACATATTTTGAGATTGACGAAATTACCACGGACGTCTCGCTGTTTACAACTACACACGAGTATGTTGTGCCTATCATTAAAAGAACAATTAAATACGAGTACCTGTATCAAATTTAGGATTTAAATATATGTATGTATCATATATATTTCGAAATTAAGTATGCTTATATATATGCAGATTGATTGCGTATATATATTGTGCTATGCTTATAGGTTGATTGGAAAGGCAAGCAGCCGCGCGCACAGAAAAAAGTAGAGAGAAAAAAAAAGCAGATCCACTAGCTTAGCTTCATATACGTGGGAGTAGAACAAGATCAACGCGCTTCGCAGAAGCAGAAATCGACCTGTCTTCCCAACAAACTGTGTATGAAAGCTTAGTCGACAGGGATGTCTACTGCAGGTGAAAACAATCCTTCGACAAAAAATAAGTTACTTTTGGTAAAGACAGTTAAATAATAAGCAGCTATATCACGCGCATGGGAGAATTGCATATTCAATTACAATCATTATTTTTTTTTCAGAACACTGTCGGCGACATTGAGAATTAATCTACCCGTGCAAACAAAGAACAGAGAAACTATAGTATACCTACATGTATCTATCACCCAATAATTGCAAGATCATGTTACAAAACGGTTCTAATTAATATATAGAAACAAGGCAGAGAATTCTACCTTTCTTTTGTCTAAGTACAATTATCTTTTTCTCCGCGATTAATATTTTTCGAGTAGTAAAATTTAAGTCAAAAGCCGTATCAGGATTCAGGAATAATCCTTCACTGGGAGAGATCTCATGTGATTTGCTGTTGCACTCGGCGGCTATCTTTTACCGTTCCCAGCAGGAAGCTGCAGACGTTGGAGAGATCGATCTCTACTGACAATGCACAAAGCAATTACTCACTAAATTGGCTATGGCTAGTGAGAGGTGCGCTGCGCACAAAGCCAATGCAACTTTTTTTGAAAATTAGCCAGGATTATCTCCAACAGTAGCTCATTTTTGTAAAAGCCTAATTATTGTGCGTGTCCAAAAGACTTTCCTCAAAAGCAAATAAAGAAAAAAAATCTTTGCATAATTATTCTATGATTACTTTGATGCGTACGTGAATGGCCATGGGTAGGAGGCAACCAAGTGATTCCCACCTAGCTAGCTTTGCTCCTATATAAAGCACCACAACTCCCTTCATTCCTCTCCAAGAGTTTTCAGCCAACACATTGAACTCTTCTTCAGAGCTCTCCCTTCCCTCCACAAAGGGGGTCTAGGGTTAGAGTGTGTGTGTCTGTGACAAGTTCCAAGCTAGCAACAACAAGCTCAATTCCTTGCTTGTTTGCTTCCATATTACACTACATCTCTTCCCTTCAATTACCCCCCTTTTAGCACACAAAAATGGCTGGCCTGTCCCTGCAGCATCCCTGGGCTTTTGCCTTCGGCCTCCTTGGTATATCATCATCACCTACCACAACTAAGACATTCCCTTCATTGCCAACATTTTACTTCTTTTTATTAGAAACCATTGAGTTTGTACATATAAGCTCAGAGTTATTACTTGCTGGCAGATACGCATAGCTAGCGACGACATTTAGTGAGGATTACACTTTAGTGGTCATCATATATAAAATAATAAAATTGTTGTGTTTCTTTATTTGTTTTTTATTTTCTAGCTAGCTTCTTTCAGTTATTTTCAACAAAAAGAATTTCTTCTAGCACTTTTATTTACAGCAGTTTATTATGTCTATTTGGGCATATTAATTAGCTACTAGCGCATAAGCTAAAAACCCTACTAGCCTTCCGAAGGCAATATGGATGGTACTCTTGTAGTAATAAGCCAAAAGCTAGATTTGATTTTTTTTATTTCTTTTGGCTTTTGTCTATTAGAATTATACGCGCGGCGCCACCCTTAAAATTGCAGGCTTAAAATCCACAAGCATATAAACTACAAGGGCCTAAGCATACTTAATGAGATGCACATAGCCATATAATTTTTCTGCTTCTTGTTAAACTATATATATACAGCAAGTCCTCATCATTTGTATGTATATCCTACTTGTGGAGCAAACATTCGATCCTTTGGTGCAACCTCTATATATTTATGTTGCCATGGAGAGAGAGTGGAATTAATAGGTCAAGCTATATAGTACTCTAATTAATGACATCATAGTGCACCATGTAACACAATAATTTAAAGAACAAGTTAAAAGCCAAGGCACAATCTTTGTTGCAAAGGAAGGCAAGGGCTAGACATAAAGTTTGTAAACGTGTCTATCTATCACAACTTATCACGTCTGGTCGCTACCTTAGCTGCCTCCATGGGGCTCTTTACTCGCATTACTTTGCCTTTTTTCCTTTACAAAATCCTGATCTTGTTTCTGTTCCTTTGGCTTTGCAGGCAACCTCATATCCTTCACGACCTATCTGGCACCAATGTAAGTAACTGAATTTCTACATGATATATACATATATAGCTTTTGTGTAATTTTAATTCCCAATCCGCACCGCGTTCCGTATCCGATAATATATGTGCATAATATTTTATGCAGCCCGACGTTCTACCGGATCTACAAGAGCAAGTCGACGGAGGGGTTCCAGTCGGTGCCGTACGTGGTGGCGCTCTTCAGCGCCATGCTGTGGATCTTCTACGCGCTGATCAAGTCCAACGAGGCCCTCCTCATCACCATCAACGCCGCCGGTTGCGTCATCGAGACCATCTACATCGTCATGTACCTCGCCTACGCCCCCAAGAAGGCCAAGGTTCGATCCATGTCATCCAAACCCTAGCACTACCACAGAAACCCTATTTCGATGCCGGTGGGGACTTGGGAACCACCCTTTGATTCTCGAGTCGCAACCGGCACCGATGAGAGGCCCCTTACAGGTGTCATCGGTTGTGAACAAGAACCGGCACCTATATAAGATTGTTCCATATTTACCGTTTTGTAGTAGTAAAATATAATAATTGACAAGTATATATGGTTCGACGTCGTTTTTGCAGGTGTTCACGACGAAGATCCTGCTGCTGCTGAACGTGGGGGTGTTCGGGGTGATCCTGCTGCTGACGCTGCTGCTCTCCCATGGCGAGCAGCGCGTCGTCTCCCTCGGCTGGGTCTGCGTCGCCTTCTCCGTCAGCGTCTTTGTCGCGCCGCTCAGCATCATCGTATGTGCATATATACGATCAGTCGTCGTCAATCTCTAGCTAGCTCATCTTTACTTCGTGTCTTGGTTTGATCGATCGATCTCGTTGCTAACTGAACTGCTTCCATGGACGATGGATGCGATATTGCAGAAGCGAGTGATCCAGTCGAGGAGCGTGGAGTACATGCCCTTCTCCCTCTCCCTCACGCTCACCCTCAGCGCCGTCGTCTGGTTCCTCTACGGCCTTCTCATCAAGGACAAATACGTCGCGGTAATTATTCAATCAATTACCTAATTATTTCTTCAAATCACAAACTGCTCAATTCAAATTTATGTGTGTGACCACATGAATTGTAATTAAGCTAAAATTGTGTGAATTTTTGCAGCTTCCCAACATCCTGGGCTTCACATTCGGTGTGGTCCAGATGGGGCTCTACGTGTTCTACATGAACGCGACGCCGGTGGCCGGCGAGGGGAAAGAAGGGAAGGGGAAGCTGGCGGCGGCGGAGGAGCTCCCCGTCGTCGTCAACGTCGGCAAGCTCGCCGCCGCCACGCCCGACAGGAGCACCGGCGCCGTGCACGTGCACCCAGTCCCGAGGAGCTGCGCGGCGGAGGCGGCGGCGGCCGAGCCGGAGGTGCTCGTCGACATTCCGCCGCCGCCGCCGCCGCGCGCCGTCGAGGTGGCCGCCGTGTAGGGTCCCCGGCCGGTCAACGCGTGCTTGCATGGGCCATGCACGTGTGCAGTACCACGTGCCACGTACACTTTAATATGAACTCCAGGGCAAACTTGGAGGAGACAAGCTACCACCAATTAATTAACTTAATTATTATTACTCATCTTTCCCAAAATATAATTACTTTTAGCCTCTAAAATTTATCTCAAAATATAGCAACTTCTTCACCTATATTCTCTTATAAAACAATCGTAACCTTCCATTAATTAAATTTCTTACATATATATTTCTCCTCTTATCAATCAATCCCAACTGCCTTTTTTTTTCATTTTATTCCTGTAACTTTCGTAATATATCCGTATATCCTATCTAAAACTTATTATATTTTGGGATGGTGATGGTATTATATATCTTTCTTGCATGCCATGCAACTAGAGACGGGGGAAGCTATGTGTAATGTATGTGCATGTGTTTCTCTGGTGTTGGTTTCCGCTTCTGTTGTATTCATTTGTATCGGTCAATGGGTATCTATTATTCCTAATTAGTTCCTTGTACTTGTAATGTATGTCAAAATTAATAAAAATGTAATCGATAAATATCTCTTCTATCAATTGTGAAATACTCATGCACACATGATCTCTTATTAATGAGCTGTGTTAATCAGGTGGGTCATGTGCGTGTTGCTTTGTCTTCAGATTAATTAATTATGTGTTGGTGCAACGAAGTAAAAATAAATATTTTATTTTGTAATACTATGTAAAAATATATATAACTAAAATAATAATTAAACAGGCCTCAGAACCTACGAATTATTAAAACCGTCACTTTTGAATCCTTATATAGTTATATGTGCAGGATTTCTACTACCTCCGTTCCAAAATAAGTGTAGTTTTAACACTGTTCATGTACAATGTTTGACCGTTCTTCTTATTTGAGAAATAATTATAATTAGTATTTTTATTGTTATTAGATGATAATACATGAATAGTACTTTGTGTGTGACTAGTATTTTTTATTTTTTTCATAAAATTTACAAATAAGACGGACGGTCAAAACGCTGGACACGGATATCTATTGCTGCACTTATTTTGGGACGAAGTTAGCATGTAGTATGTATTCAAACACTGATGCTTTCCAGGTTCATTAATTAAGAAAATGACGTAGTTTATGATTGGTCTAAACGGTTGGCACGTAGCAACGGAATGAACCTTTTTGTTCATGTACGTACCTCCACACATAGTGCTTTTTTTCATAAAAAGCTGCCACGTGGTGTATATTATAGGCTAATTATTGTTCTCCATCCATTCACGTCTCACGAAAAGAAAAGGCCGGTACACTCTCTGGAATAATTGCGAGCTTTTTCCTGATTTCGTACTTCCATGACTGTAATAGTTTGAAAGTATTTTTCGTTATATAAATTTACTAGTGTGATATTTTGATATTATATCTTTTTACAATTGTGCCCTGAATTAAGTTAATAAAATTTAACCGCACGGATATATGTGGACATGATCGATAAAAAAAGAGATAGTGGTATATATATATATATATATATATATATATATATATATATATGTACATTTAATTAATGATATGTAATTGTGCATATATTTGTGTAGGAGTCGAAGCAACATTATTACAAAAATTGATACAAGGACAACTAGCTGAGCTGAGTGAACATTTTGCTAACTAGCTGGGCCAGTATTTCACGGGAAAAGAAGAGGAATGGTTGAGCAGGCCGGCCTGTGCGCGGGAGTAAGAAGAATTGGGCCGGACCACGCATAAGAAAAGGAAAAGGAATAAGTTCATCTGAGGTCCCTTAACTTGTTGACGAATCCGATTTTCATCGTTCAACCATCAAAACCGGTGCAAAATAAGTCCCAAGTCAGTTTAGACAGCGGTTTTTGCTGATGTGGCCCATACATGGCTAATTTGACTCGGTCTTCATCACACGTGACATTGACGTGGCGCTTACGTGGCAATTTAATTTGGAAAGTAATAAAAACTATCGGGTCCACATGTCAGTTACACAAAATAAATTAATTTAAAAATGGTGGAGCCCACGTGGGCCCCACATGTTATTGTCACCCTCCCTTCTTCTTCCTCCTCTCTCCCCATCTCCCTCTCTTCATCTCTCTCCCTCTCCTCTTTCCAGATGCCATGGGAAGATGGCGGCGTGCAGCGCCCGGCGGTAAAGGAGGGAGCGGCGCGCGGCGACTAGCGAGGTGGGTGAGGAGGGAGGACGTAGGGAGGTCGGCGATGCCTAAGCGCCATGGGTGGGGGCTCAACGGCAATGGGCGGAGGGAGAGGTGCGCAGCAGCGGCGGCTAGCGAGGAGATGGGAGAAGGATGATGTGGTGACCGACAAGGATAGTGGCGGCGAAGAGATGCTCACGAGCCCCTTCCAGAGTTGAGGAGGACGCCGCCACCATCGCTGCAGTGTTCTATCCCGATCTCGCGCGGATTTAGAACCCCGTCGCCGCTGCCCTCCTCCAATGCTCTCGTTGTCCGTCTCCGCCCTCTTGCCGGCGAGGGGCTGGGGAGACCGGGAGAGTCGTCGGAGTGCGGCCGGCGGTGGATTCCCCATCCCTCTCTCTTGCCCACACACGACTGTGGCTGCTTTCGGCGACTGGCGAGGAAGGGGTTGCCACTTTGAGGAGGAGGCACGACGAGCGGAGATGGAGGATATGGGGGAAGCCGGCGAGCGCGCAGAGAGGGAGGAGCCGGGCGCCGCCCTTCTCCCTCTCCATGTCTGTCTCTGCCCCCCTCGCCAGCCACCGCCCTTCTCTCTCTCCGTGTCCGTCTCCGCCCCCCTCACCAAGCGCCGCCTTTCTCCTCACCACGTGCCCTCATCAGTCGGCGAGGGAGCTCAAGGAGAAATGGAGGATTTTCGGGACGGAGGAAGAGAGGAGAAGGAGGCGTCGACATGCCGTCCTCCTTGGATAGAGAGAAGGGTGGGACCTACATGTGGGCCCCATATTTTCCAAATTTTTAATTTTTGGTTCTAGTGCCACATCACTGTCACGTAGGACGAGGACCAAGTCAAACCGGCCACGTAGGATGAGGACCAAGTCAAACCAGCCACGTAGGACGAGGACCAAGTCAAACCGGCCACGTATGCACCACGTCAGCCAAAACCACCATCAAAACCGCCGAGGAATCTAGTTTGCACCGGCTTTAATGGTTGAGGGATCCATTATAACTGGTCTTATGGTTGAAGGATGAAAATTGGATTCGTTGACAAGCTAAGGGACCTCAAGTGAACTTATTCCAAAGGAAAATGAAAAGGGAAAATAGCAGGCCGGGCCAAGGCGTGAATGAGAGAGAGAGAAATTGTTTGAACGGATTTTGAGTACTTATGCTGAGGTTTAAATACCAATTTGATGTTTTTGAAAACGTGAAAACTAGGAGTTCAATGAAGGATTTCCGGACGTATTTGCAATTAGAAAATTTTTAAGGAAAAATTCTTTGAAGGAAAAAGAGAGGAATTAAATATTTGGTTCAAGACTTGTTATTAGTACAGATCCTCTCATCTGTGATGCCCCTCACATGCCAGGGTTTTGTGGGCCGTCACAACGAAGTCATCTTAAACGGGCCGAAAAAAGAGACCGACAAAGATATACTCGCACATACATGCTAGATGTGCATAAAAATCGAGCCTGTCACGGATCATGGGATATTGTGAAATATATTTGTTTCTGTCATTTTACAGTGAGCATGACTAGCAAAGGTCTGAGGCTAGCAAAAAAACAGAATTAATTTTTCTTTGGGGAAATACTCATCGATGATGGGCTTTAACTTAAACCCAATAGGGATGACCTCCTCTGTGATGGGCATAAGTTAAAACCCGATTGAGTTGAGGCATCTGTGACGGCCTTTAGTTTAAGCCCAATTGGGATTGTAGTCATCCGTGATGGGCATTAATTGTGGTCCATTGAGATTAGGTCATCGGTGACGGGTTTTGTTTGACTGGTCGTCTAGGTGAAACCTATCGGTGACGGACTTTAGTTTAGGCCCGACAAAGATAACTTTATCTGTGACAGCCTTATCCTCGATAGAGTCTCACATCAGTGACCTTTACGTCGTGACGGGCGTCATACCCGACACAGATGAGGGTTGCCACCCGATTGAGATGTGGGTGACTGTTGTAGTGTAAATTAAAATTTCAATTTTGAGGAGTTGAGAGGCGGGGAGATATTGACGAAGGGTTTTGATTGGGAGGTGGAGTCCTATACTTTTGGTGAATTTGGGAGTTTCACTCCGATAGTGTTTAATTTTCCATCGTGGTATTTAACTTTTTACTGGACATTCCTTTTTGCACAGCTGTAGAGACGACACTATTAATACCAAAATTTTCAATATGTTATCCATAAATGCTACCTAGCACATACATACCATGACGACAACTTGCGCACATGGCTACACACCGCGCATCACCATGCTCGCACCTGTGGAATGAGATCCTCTGATGGTGACAAAACCGTCAGAGGCGCACAGTACTTCAACTTTGTGATATTTTTAACCGTCCGATTGGTAGCGAACGAACGAGATTGATTGCTACAGCTACTATAGTAGTAATATATAAATAGAAATTTTGAACAGTATTTTCTACTGTTTTCGAACAGTATTTTGCAGTTTTGGGAGTTGGACTTCCAAACTTTTCTGGAAATTTGGAATTGTTTTTGTTGCGATTTTGGGTTAATAAAATTGACTTTTTTTTTCTTGGGTACAACACTCTATGTGACGTTAGAAAGTCCAAAATTTATCAAAGTACTATCTCCAAAATAAGTTTATTTTTTATCCATCTCATACATACCAATAAAAAAAAACTAGAATACCTCTATATATATCAAATCCCAATGCAACTATTCTTTGCATTATCTACTCTTAGTACAATTAGTCTTTACTATTACGAACTCCGATGCAATGATTACTCTAGAGATAAATTTATTTTGAGACAAATGGAAGAAGCTAAAAATAAATTTAGAACTGGACGGAGAAATTATCCTCTTATATCTATCTATCTATTATATACTAAAAATCCATTAATCTTCCTACAAACGCTCCTAAGCCGCCACTTGGCGCTCTAATAAATTAGAGAAATCAAAGAAATTCTGAGAAAAAAGAAAAGCATCTATCCATTGATTTTTACTTAAAATAGTGGGTCCACTAGTAGATACCGTCAGATTAACTATATTGATCTTAAAACGTACAATTCCACACCATCCGTAGGTACGTACGTACGTACGGTTCCATCTCCTTCCCTCCTTTTTCTTTTCATATATATATAATCGAGATAACAGTTAAAATAGTTAAATTTTATATAATCATAACTTATATGATTATATTATGATATATTTCTTTCCAAAATAAAGTTTACACCACTATATTTTTACCCATTAAATAAAGGTATACGTGAAACCTTTATGTGGAGCATTATTTTCAAATCATACACTATTTAAATAAAGTTTATAAAGTTTATACCGTTACATTCTGTACGCATTAAACTAACAAAGAAATATATTAACTAATTTATACTTAAACGTGCTATTTTAGACTTTTTAATAAAGGCCGGATTAATTTTACGAGTCTTTACAATTATTTGTACCATA